CTACATTTCGACTCAGACATGAGCTGGAACACCATGACAAGCCATGTTGCACGCTGCGTTGCCGCTAAGATTGGGCTACTGAATCGAAGTGTAGCATGTCTGCCTTTTTCTTGCCGTGTTCAGTTTTTCAGGTCCTTTATATTATCAGAATTTGACTATGCATCTGCTGCCTATGCCCCTTTCTTATCGTCTTATCAGGATAGGCGCCTAAATAGTTTGTTCAAACGTGCGGCTCGCTCGGTGTGCAGGGCAGCCCCTCGCACTCACACGGCTCCCTTACTTGAACGCATGAATGCCTATACCCTCAGCATACACACACACACACACACACACATACGCACATTCTTGTATTCATTTGGCGCTGACATAACCGCATAGCAACCAAGTCAAGATTAGGGAAACCATTCCAACATTCAGGAAGAGTCAAAGATACAATGTACATGTATTTTCTCTAAACTATAGATTGCCTGCGACCTGCATTTCCGTATATGTACAGTCATGTACTCGACTCTTGTCTTGAGCAAGTCGCGAACCACGTACCGGTAACGTGCCTGGTTGCTATGCAATCTCGAACCGACACCAACTTCAATCTACATGTACATGTACATGTCAGTGACAAGCCGTGCATGCACGGAGTATGTTATTGACAGCTTGAATGAGACTGCTAGAGAGCTAGAGTAGAGAGAGAGAGAGAGTGCCATGATTATGTACCCTGCAATGTACATTGTAAATGTAGTTACAACGAGCATACGTGGTGAGGCTGGGCAGCGAAATCTCGGATCCCAACGATCCGGGATGCATCATAGTCGCCTTCAACTATCGCACCCCCCGTCGTACGAAGATGCAACTCGTCTGCCAACGTATGAAGAAACCTTACAATAAGCGTCATAACAGTTCGCTAACGTTCTCGGAGACTGGTGTGTGATAGCGCAAATGGATGGGAGAATGCACAAGAAAGCACAACATGTTCTCTTGCTCGTTTCGTCCGCGAATACAAACGTGACTATGCTGAATATGTAACACCTCAGTCACATAGTCATAAGCATAGGATGGTTGCAAACGAGTGACACGTGTAGTGACATCAAACGTTCGTGGATGTGCAATGCAAGAATGCAGATAAGAACTCTGCTCCGCTTTGGGTGATCACATACAAGTATGAACATTATACTTAGTCTATGGTCGAGACGCGCATACTGGTGATTTCTAAGAGCTTGAATGAATCACCGGAGACGCCACAGCATTATGCTCCAAACTATGTATAACGCATTGTAATTGCGTGGGCATCTGCCGGAGCCAGTGTCCACAAATCCTTGAAGAGTATAATTTTGTGAGTTCGTGCGTAATGCATTCATCGTTCCTATTACTGTTCTTCACCTTAGATTTCTAATATCGACGAAAGTAAAATGAGCGTACTCATACCACGAGAACAATGGAACAATATTTTATGATTTGAACATCGTTTTCATATGATAATCATCAGAAGTCGTCATCACAATGATAGTTCGGAAGTTAGAGGCCACATGCTACGTACTGCTCTTTACTCTCGGAAATTCAACACTTGCAAGCTAGATATGAAAGAAAGAAAAGAAAAAGAGAGAAAAGAGCAGTACGTGACATGTGGCCTCTAACTTCCTAACACTTTGAAATTCTCCGTGAAGTCCAAATTTGAAATTGCAATGATAGTTGGACAACAATTGAGGATGATGACCAATGGGCGAAATATTGTCAAAATTATTTATTTATCTATCTGGTGCAGCTGAGATCCTGTTGCCGGAATGGCTGTATTTTCAAGTATAACGATAAAATAATCCTTGAGCAAAATCGAGAAACACATCACGTGCGTGGTTTCCATGCAATCTCGAACATTGCCATCTTCAATCAACATGGTCATTGCACATGCAAGTGACAGCCTGACAGGCCGTGGAGCATTTCTATTTTGGCACCTTGAATGAGCCGGTAGGATAGAGGGAGAGTGCGATGATTATGTACATTCAGCGAGGATGCGTGGAACAGGCACTCTGTGACTTGTGTCCGTACATGTACATGCATGACATTTCACATTGATTCACATGTACTTGTACTAATTTTCTCTTTGAACGGCGAAGAATTCAGAAGGACCCTTGCAGGAAACGAATAATTATACGTTGTGGACAGTATTTTAGCTGGACGATGGTTGCAAAGGCTCGTTTCGGAAATAACAATACCAGCAGCCGGGCACAGTCCAGGTTTGTAGAGGCTACTGCGACGCGATCCTTTCCGGGAGTTGCTTTTGAATGGATCCGTGCCGAAACAGTGTGAAATTGAAGCGTCGCAATGCTGGACGACATCTACGCATGTCCTTCTGCACGCTGTGCATCCTGGCAGTGCCCACGGCCGCGATGTTTGTGCTGCGGGAGTTAGTCAACCCATTGTTCGTCATTGGCGGTATCCTGCTTGCTCTCATCGGCACAGTCTTTCTAATGTTCATCGTCTGGTTCACGGCACAGTATGTGTTCTACGCTATGCGCCTCAGATACGTGAGTGGCCGCACTGCCAGCAGGGAGGTGACTGGTGGAGATGCGGTCACCACAGGCGACTTGCATTTGCAAGCAGCCTCAAGTCGCAGTACCGCACACAGCATGAATTCCAGACAAGGAGCTCTGACTGAAGAGCACACCCACGTCCACATGAGCACTACCTCCATCGGCAGCGGTGGCAGCGACGCAGAGCTACAATTTCACGAGATCGCTAGTAGTCCGCAAAGCAGCTCAGACTCAGAGGATGACGTGAACCAGACCGGTGCAGCTGTTGGGCAGCGAAATACGGGATCCCAACCACCCGGAACGCATCCTACTCGCCTTGAACTATCGAGCCTCCCATCATACGAAGATGTAACCTGTCTGCCCACATATGAAGAAACCGTGCAACAAGCGTCAGAGCAAACATTATCGGAGACTGGTGTGTGATAGTGCAAAAGGACAACAGAAAGCACACGAAGGTAAAACGTGTTCTCTTGCTCGCTTCGGAGCTTCGTCCCGCGAATACAATGTACAAACATGACACTGTTGCAATTCAGTCACACAAGCAAAGGATGGTTGCAAACGAGTGACAGCCAGTCAGGTGTAGTAACATCAAACATACGTGGATGTGAAATGCAAGAATGCAGATAAGAACTCTACTCCGCCTTGGGTGATCGCATACATGTATGAAAAATCTACTCTGCATGTGGATGGTCGAGACGCGTATACATGTACTGGTGGGTTCTAAGAGCTTGAATGAATAATGGGAGACACAACAGCATTATGCTCCAAACTGTGCATAACACATTGCGTGTGCGTCTGGCAGAGCCAGCGCCCACAAGTCCTTGAACTAATACTTGAAGAGTATGTAACTGTTTGTGAGCTCGCATAATATAATACATGTGTGTTTGTTCACATGCATGTGAATGTGTGCGTGTTTGTGCGTGTGCCTGCGTGTACCATGTACAATGTACACTGCACATGTGTGTGTATGCGTGTTTGTGTTTGTGTAAACACATACACACACACGCGCCTACACGCACGCACACACATGTGCATGTACATGCCAACACACACACCTACCCCCCCCCCCCCCCACACACACATACACACACACATACACACCTACCCCCCCCCCCCCCACACACACACACATGCACACACACACATACACACCTACCCCCCCCCCCCCACACACATACACATACACACACACACATACACACATACACATCTACCCCCCCCCCCCCCACACACATATACACACACATACACACACACATACACATTCGGTCTTGGCAGCACGAACCATTTGACTGATGGAACTAGTCCCTCCTACTTATACTTGTACATGTGACGTGTACATTCTAGAACAAAACAAAATCGTGTTCGAAGTAGTCTCACTGACATCCACCACTTTCTCCAATGCTTCCATCTTAGTGACGGTATACCACTTGTTTGCCGAGCACACGGTACTTTTCTCCAACAAGAAATCCACTTGTTAGCCTTGAGTAGAGACGGGCTCAGCGACGTGTTGTTTAATCTATTTTAATTCTCATAATCAAACTGGCAGCAAGCCCAAATTCATGAGAGCGAACGTGTATAGTGTGTGCATTATGAACATCATAGAAGCAGGGTTATCAGAGAATGCGAGGAGGTGAAGTTCCGAATTTATATTTGGGAGACATCCTAGTTCTCTCCCTAATTTTCGAAAATCTGTCTGATACAGAGCAATATGTTGATGTAAAGTTACTCAATGTGTCGTGTCTAAGACCGACCGTGTCAAGAACACGAAACTCACAACGAACATGAACTTTTATCTTACTAAAATACATGACTTAGTAGAAACCGAGAGAGTTAGGAACTCGAGGGAGAGAACAGGGCAGTATGGAGGGAACATAGAAGGCGAGAGAACTCAGACAATACAGTTAATACTCACACCTTTTGAGGCTTATTCACAGCACAAGGTTCTGAACCCTCTGGTGTGAATTGGTCTCAAAAGCCGTGCGCCATCAGTAACGCAGCCGGAATCCACTATGTGTTTGGAGATGTGACGTGGTGAATGATGTTAACGACTGAGTTTTTCACCATACATCTCGTCGTTTGCATTCCCGGAGAACCAGAACGCGCTGCGATACATGCAGGGTGTGATGATTATGGCGAGTTAGTAAGCCATGATTGCTCATCACAAATCAAAAATGCCCTGTTTTTATGCGTATTTGCATGTGCGAATCTCACAGTTACTGCCACACCGCTGACGCCAATGCACACATTCTGTTCGAGCTGACGTGAATATCGCACTACTCGTTATTTCTTAGCGTGGCGCTAGGAATTTGAGGTAACTTGAATACATGTATGCAGGAAGCACCTCATCACGTGATCACGTGGGGTCTGCCTACGTTCACACAATGTGCAATTCTCAGTTTAGCAGATGAGCAGAACTCTCTAAAGTAGCAGATCGAAGGTAGGAAGGTTCATTCGTAACTCGATTTTAACGCAAAAACGATCTTCAGGCAACGAACCTGTTAGAAGTATTGCCTGAGGACTGCTGTTGCGCGAGACTGTTTCTTCGTTCCATCTTATGTGAAATCAACTCATAAATTGTGGAGAGAGCGCCAGGAAGAGTTTTCGAATGACATGTCGTCGCAATGACTCTTGGACACCAGTGTTTATTTCGCAGAGCCATTCGTTTTCCTATTCTGTCTATCTTGCAACTAGTAGTGGTAGGTCTTAGGCCTTTCTGGTCGGTTACTGTTCTAGCTGAATGTTACTGCTCTCCGCTGTTGTCTTGCGATCGCGGGTCCCCAGTGGAGTGCCTGCACGGTGAGTGTGCGTGGCAGATGTCCGCCCGTTCTCCCATGGAAGTGGTTTGCAGTAAGTCCAACGAAATACTTCGCACAACATTACCATTAGTACGAACGTTGGTTGTTCGGCACACTGGAGCTCACATTGCCCCGCCAGCCACCCACTCTCCTTTACAATTATTGCCGAAGTCGCCACCACAATTCCGTACATTACAAAAACCATGTTTTGATCTAAATATTGATATCGATCAGGCTTTGAGGACTGTGTGAGCGGTGGACTATCCCTAAATAGTGAGAGAGAGAGAGAGAGAGAGAGAGAGAGAGAGAGAGAGAAAGGGGGGAGAGGGAGAGGGAGAGGGAGAGGGAGAGAAAGAGAGAAGGGGCCACATAATTGTCATGCGGTGCTCAAGTGAAGCAGGCCCATTCACAAGTGTGCTGGTATGTGCAGTCACACGCCGTTACTTGCAGTTACCCCTGGCTTTTCTACTCCGCAGTAGCTAGCTCTATCACTTTACGTGGGTCTATTGTCCGAGTCACTCCACTCGCTATCACTAAACCAAAACTATCGACGAACATGATAAAGCAATGAGTTGTGTTTAAAAAAACCTTTGCTACTTGTTAAGCCTTGGAATACTCCTTTTGAATATTGAGTTCGCTTGGAATCGAAATACCAGAAAGTGGCCTAACACTGTCCTCTCACTTGATAGGAGACAAGGGGCATGGTATTCACTACGAAACGGATTGTTGGACTGTTGACACATGATCCCACGTGTCATGGTCAAGTACTTCACCGCGAATTGTAGATAAAGCTCGGACAATTGGCAAACTCTGCTTTGAAAGAAGTCAAATGGGCAGAACCATGCAAAGGTCATAGTGAGAATTTTAATTTTTACTCCTCTGCCTTTTGCATATTGTGTCTTGCTCCCTACGTGGGAGCTTTCGCTATTCCCGCCGACTTGAATTCTCACTTGACTGACTTACGACTGCCATGCCTTTTGCATACACCAAGAATGCAGGAACCATGTAAGAAAACTACCGAATTGTGCCGCTTTGTGTGGGTATCATCCACCGATGGCTAACACCACCATGCTCCTTGCCGCAATTCAAGAATGTTTTAAAAAAGCACAACTACATGTAATTGTACATGATCGTACAATGATCATTAATCATCATACTAGTACATGGCTTGTGCAAGTACATGTACATGTCCTTGTAGAATAGATGGCTCCAAAAGGCGTATTTTCAATACTTTTTCCCTTGCATATTGACTTTATAGTTCCTTTCAATATGAAAATAGAGTACACATTGATAAAGAGCATTTTAGAGAGCTTCATTTTGATACGCTTGTCATACGAGGTAAATTGCTATTTCTGGACATTTCGAGTAAAACAATTTTTCGCCGCGTGTAGAGTCAGGTCACTCGAGTTGATGAGCGTTCTTCTTGTTGTAGTTGACAGCTGGGCTGTTGTAGTTTCTCCTTGTGTCGGTGCCTTGTTGATAGCCTTTGCTTGTGCGGCGTTTCAACGAGTTTTGTGGTACGATGTTGCACGCGAATATTGAGTAAAATAGGACGTAATGGACGAATCGTTGGCTTCCCCGTGTGCACTCCACTATCAGACACAGTATAGTCTTGGAACTGGCGGCTGGAAGTATGAAGAGACCAACAGCAGTCAACCAATATAAAAAATATAAATGGTGCAGTATAGGATGCCTGTTGACGCTAGTTCATCTTCATGTCCAGAATTCCATACACTGAAATTTAGGCCCAAAATTCGCCTGTCAAAAACGTCCTGCTATCAAGTCTCTTGGATCACAGCATGAGCAATCGTCACATATTTGGAAAGATGAAGGATTGGGCCATACAATAAACTGATATGAAAAATGTAAAACACACAGCCAGTGGGGCTCTATTTTATTTTTATGTCCAGAAATTGCTATTCACCTCGGTACTATACAAAATATCGGTTCACATACATACATTCAAATGGGACTTCGGGTATAAGGACACTATGCGACTAAGGACCCTTTTCTGATGGCCCGCTGAGTGTCGTTATTCGTAAAGTGGACAGTATTTTGTAATTTGTTTGTGGATTCTCCGCTGGTGTTTGTCCAGACAACAGAAAAGCCGACACGCTGATGGTTGTGGGAATCAGTACACTGCTGTTCGGCATAGCCGCCGTCACTGTGGGAACCACGGCTGACACGCGAGGACTGGCCGATGCCGGGATTGCTGTGTGCGGCTGGGGAGCCTTCTTTACGGGCCTAGGGCTGGGCGTGGCCTGCACCATACATAGTGTGGAGTGGCGAGAGTACAGAACGCGCCTGGATCGCCTCGACCTGGAGACGCGCGTGCGCCTGAGACAGGAGACGATGACGATGGGCGCCTGGCCGGGACCGGACGTGCCGGCCGTTGCGCAGCCTGCCGGTGCGCAGTCGCCATGGCAACAAGCCTATCCGCTGTACCCGACTAGATCGCCCGTAAGCCTGGAGCCGCAGTCCGGCCGAGCTGCGTATGCGCCCTCACACCCAGGCAGTAGCAGAGGTGCGGAAGGGCCAGTGGTAGCACAGGCACAAGCAGCAGCGGCGGCGACGGGCGCGGATGATGAGTACAACTACATCGACGTAGCCGAGGATAAGCTACGCTCTCAGCCGGCTGCCAGTACAACAACACGGAACGTACCAGCAGCAGCAGCGGCGCCATTGTTTGGCTCACGTGCGGAGCCCGTCGTTACTCGACAACTCCCCAAGTCCAGTTTTAGACATGAGAATTACCAGACCGCAAGCACTATCTCCAGCAACTCCAGTTCATCGGAGACCGCGTCGATCGCGTCTCATCTGGAAATGATCCCAGCTTAGGACTGATCCTGCTGCTCGTCATTGCAGAGACTGTTTATGTGTCACGCTATCAATCGAGTCGTGGCCAGCCCCTTACCTGTACATGTGTATCTCTGGCCCAAACTCCAACTCAGGGCCTTTCACGAGACAAGGAAACGTTTGGCAAATGTTTCGAAACTGGCCTTTCATTTCAAGCATAATTCACCGCTTGAACACTGGTGCTTTTTAGAGTAATGCATCTTCCACGAGAATTATTTTTTTGTGTCCAATTTTGTCTCTAATACCTTCGCGATTTCACCTGGTAAATTTCGCCAAATTCCCTGCTGATTTTTGTATTGATTCGGCATGTTTCCTACGTAGACTCGGCAATGGACTGTAATGTTGTTAGTATCCTTTGTTATTGTGGGCGCCCTGTACGGCAAACACTGATAATAATGAACCTATAACCTAAGATTAGTTTTGAATGAATTTCCCTTGATACCATTACCAAAACCAGAGCTAGCTGTTACTTACTTGACGAACTGAGAATCATGACGTAACTGTCGTTTACCTCTTGCATAAGAAGTGTTGATGTCATTTACGCGTACAGGTGGAATCCTGATACAGTGTAATTCGAACCTCCAAATGCCAGCAAAAAACTTCTAATTATCCGGACATTCTAATTATCCAAACATGAACCCACAACACAATTATGTGGTTCGAGGTTCGAATTATCAGAAAAATTTATGTGGGAATCGTATTGACAGAAGTCGGTCCTGGAAAAACTTCTAATTAAGCGGTATGTTCGAATTAAGCCATATTCGAATTATTAGGATTCCACCTGTACTAGTACCGCTCCAGAGCAAGTGCGTGACATTCAATGCGCTGGTTCTGATCTACTCAATCGGCGGACAGAACTGTCTCGTCCTTTGTGGACTCCTCAGCGCAGCACAGAGGAAATGAGGCCGAACCTGATATTATCAATGAAAAATTTCCAAAGCCCGATTTAATTAAACCAGGCCCGTGGTTCTGATCTACATTTTTGTAGTTGGTGTCCACGATTGTGCTCCAGGGATCAGGGTTTGGATTGTGAAGGCATGTGGACTAGCTTGCCGCGCACGTTAGTTGATCATCAGCAGTTGAAACGAAACTAAAAAATTAATGATGAATTATGTACATGACATTGTACTTCTTCTTTTTGAAGTACGAGTACTTGTACTAACGAACTGTCGCGTTATTACAGTTCAAGTAATAGTTAATTCAACCATTTTTTAAACTGTCTACTTGGTGCACCGCGTACCGGTGCTCAGATCTCAGGCTGGCTCATCTCAAGCTCAGTGTACACGTGTGTAGGGTATGAGGTAAAGCATGATGCGAAGTATGATGTAATGTGTGATGCACTGTAACGTTATGAGGTAATGTATGACGCAATGATTATGATTGTGTGCACTAGTACTACTAGTACTAGTCTAGTACTAGTACTAGTACTAGTGAGTAGTGTACATGACAAGGCGTTATCTAGAGTCCGCCGACACACTGCGACAGGCCCTAGCCTAGGTCAAGGGCCAATGCTATTGTGTGGTGATGGAGGTCCCGGGTGTACGTACACGTCGTGTTCTCTAGCCCTGTCTATGCCCTTGTGCGCACGTGTAGGTGGAGTAGGTGCGAATGACATTGCATAGAATGACGTTCACACGGCACTTAGATCTTTGCGTGGTCAGGCAATGTCAATGACCGTTACGTATGATTCGCGCGAGGAAGCGCACACAATCATCATAGATCCCACTAAGTCACTCTCACAGAGTGAAGGAAACTCACAAGTACAAGTGAAGTGGGCATTCGGGCTCAGCCAAGAAAATGTCGCCGGTAAATAATCGCCGAGTTACTCCTACTCTCTTGACCCGTGAGCAGAGAATATTCTAGCCAGCATCCAGTCAGCGGTGTAAGACCAGTACAATCTGCATACAACTGCACAATATCGCCGAGCAGAATACCCGTGTGACTCCTACTCATATAGTCATAGACTAGGGTTTGTGCTTGGCTGTACTCTACATGTAGTTGTGGGGTAGCAGTGATACAGTGTACTACATGTACTACTAGTACTAGCCATTCTGCTTACGGAGTAACGCTCGATCGGCGCCTTGCCTGCATGGCCTAGACTTCAAAGAGCGTAATTAAATCTCCTGAAACTCTCCCTTTCCTTACAGTGGTACAGTGAGCACTTCTGTGTGTGTTTCAGGCGTTCACACTGTGTGTTTTACAGTTCACGCTTCCCGTCAAGATGTTTATCGTACAACTGACGCAGGACGAGAAAGCTCTGCGTCGTTTCCTGGCCAAACGTAACCCTTGGGTAGCTAAGGAGCAGTTTTTGTTCATGTCGTGTCCAGGTTTGGATGCACGGACGAGGCTGGCCCATCACCCCATAGCCCGGCCTGTATAGCCAGCCAGGTGGAACATGGAACATCCTCGATGCTACCGCCGGGATAGCGCGCACACTGGCGACGACAAGACATACCGCCCCGGAAGGAAGAAACCGCGCTGATTGACTGCTTCGTTGTTAACGTTAGCGCTGAAAGAATAGATAGCAACTACATCGTGACGTAAGGATTCCCGCCAACAGCGGGCGCTAGTTCTTAGTGTTGAGCGCAGTCTCGAACTTTAGCGACCAGATCACTACAAACACCTAAACTGAGTCAGTCACAATACCTATGTACAATTCTCAATGCACTCGATCTATATTGGTCCTCAATGCTCTTGATCTCCATGCGTTCTCAATGCTCTTGATCCAGACTTATTACTAACCATACCTATGACGTATTCTCAATTCACTTGATCTGCGCTGTTTCTAAATGCTCCTGACCTCGATGTGTTCTCAATGCATAAAATGTACAATCATGTTACACATTGGGATACCTCAACGTAAACACTCCAAAATATGGTCTCTTTGCTGCATACGTCATCAACTTTTCACCACACTTTCGGGCATGGCTAGCCCTTGGCGGATTATGCCGGCATAATATTTGGCATAATCTTGGGATTTCGTCAAAAAATTAAGCTCCGGCATAATATATGGATTCCAACGTGTAAGGTCGGCATAATCTTTCGGTTTAGACAAAAATTATGCTTTGGGGCATAATACAGCTTTGTCAAAAAGCCTGCAGATGTTTTTTTTTTAATACCCCAGTTACGACTCCTTGTCATAGCCCTTGGCGGAATATGCCGGCATAATATTTGGCATAATCTTGGGATTTCATCAAAAAATTATGCTCTGGCATAATATTATACGGATTCCAACGTGTAAGGTTGGCATAATCTTTCGGTTTAGACAAAAATTCTGCTTAGGGCATGGCCGCGTGTGTATGCGTGGTTTCTCAATCCTCTATGTACAGCGTGAATACATAGTGGAACCGAGCATAATTCAGCATATTTGTTGGCATAATTGTGGCATAATCAAAAGCATAATTTGACGATTGGCCGAGCATAGTCCGCCAATGGCTAGGCATGGCCCATCCTCAGGGTGAAAACAGAAAAACAAGTGCGCACAAACTACGGAGTGAGTGGCTATGCACTGAGGTGCTGTAGGAACGTGATGAGGAGAGTGCGGAAAAGAAAAGTGGTGTAAGAAAATGTGTGTACAGTGGTAGGCCTTGCGGATAATACCGGCAGAAAAATTGGCAGAATTCGGTATTTTTTCTGGTGAGTTTCATGCATGTTTGGTATGTGGATAAAGAAATGGAAATGGAGCAGAATCCGAGGAATTGCCCGCCATAAGGTTTGTATGGTTCTGCCAATTTCACTGCTTTTCGAGCAGAATCTGCCAATGCCTAGTGTACAGGGTATAATTATGTGTGGAGAGTAGCAACACTGGTGAAAGGTGTAACCATGGTAAAGTAGTGGAGGAGAGACCATAAGCATTCTGGGGGGGGGGGGGGGGGTTCGTTGGGCACCCTGTAAGAAGGCCATAGGCCTGTTGGGTATACCCAAGTAAAATAATAAATACTACTACTTCACCTTTCCCTCCTTTAATTATTATGTTATTTCCATAACTTAGAACCACAGAGGCAATATGCTTTGGTTCTGCAAGAGTGTCTGATGATTGGTTCAGCCATGAAACTCTGAGCCACAACGGAATTAATTTGCCAAGGTTTTCATTGTGTGCCTTTGTATAACTAAAGAACCTTCGAAGTTGGAAGGCTGTGTAAGTGCGCATCCAAGATGTGCTAGAGCTGTTAGCCAGTGAGTTGTAGAACGTCAGTAACGTCTAGGCCTTTCCCAAATCGGACATTTATTTTGGCCTATTCGGCTTTTCGATCAGCTGAAAAAATCGCCAGAATCGGCTGAATATTTCTGTAAAAGGTGGAAATTCGGCTCTCAAGTCGCAGCCACCTTTCGCAGATAATGGCTACAGAAATTGTATTTGCATGCTATTGAGGCACTAAAACATCAATTTTCGGCGAATTCAGTGCGAAAATTGTGTATTCGGCTAAAAGTTCGGTGATTTCTTCAAAAGCACTATTTTCGGCCGGCCGATTTGGGAAATGCCCACGGGCCGTGACGCAGGCGGGCACGAGCGGTCATGCCCAGTTGCCCACGACCCTGCATAACATGTATTCGGCGATTTCTTAGTAAAATCTCAGAATTCGTCCAAAGATCGGCAATGTTCTGAAAAGGCTACTTTTCGGCGAATGTTTCGGCCGTTTTGGGAAAGGCCTAGTACCGCCCGTCAGTGTCGTCACGGCAATGATTACGTTATCCCATGAGCTGATTTTATAGTCACTGGTGCCTGTTAGTGGACAGTATAGTGTAACTTGCAGTTCTTTGATCCTTTATACTTTTTATAAACTACTACAACTACTATTTTGATGGTTCCATTGCTTGTTGTCATTTCATGCAGTTGACGTGTTGGCGTTTGTTTTCTCACTACGGTAATGCAGTCTAGGGAGAACATTCGACAACGACTACACAAGTCCAGCCACAGTTTACCAGTGTTGTTGATTGCCAGGAGGGGGGGGGGGGCTGATAATGGACAAAAATAGAATTCTAGATAAGCAATAGTCTACAGGAATAAGCCAGCGAGAGAGAGAGAGAGATTGAGAGAGAGAGAGAGAGAGAGAGAGAGAGAGAGAGAGAGAGAGAGAGAACAAGCTAATTGGTCAGCAATTAAACATGCAACCCGCCCTCTCCCCCCCCCCCCCCCCACACACACACACTAACGCCCACACACTCATGCAACACACTCATGCAACACACACACTACACACACACACACACACACACACCTGGCCTGGTGTGCAGCTGCCAAATGCTTGGCCACGCCGCCCCCGAGACAGGGGAAAGTAGAAGAGAGAGTTCGAGAGAAGTCAGCACTGTCACTAGGAAGCCGCTCCGCCATGACGCCGTCCACGATTGCAATTGTGCCACACACACACGCACACACGCACGCACACACGCACACACACACACACATGTGCACACACACACACACACACACCACACACACACACACACACACAACACACATGTGCACACACACACACATGTGCACACACACATGTGCACACACACACACACACACATGTGCACACACACACACACGTACACACACACACACACACACACACACACACACATTGTACTGTAACATGAAACGCCAATCACAAGATAAACTCACAAATCTGCGAATGCACTGGCTGTGCACCCACAGGTTTCTCTTACTTACTAAGTTACTTTCTTACACCTACACCTGCCCATTGCGGAGGCGATGATAGCGAACAGGCTATGTTAGACATAGCAACTAAGTAACCTGTGCAGGGGTTACACCGTTCAACAGCTTGCAAGGCTGATTCCTCTCTCTCTCTCTCTCTCTCTCTCTCTCTCATACACACACACACACGCATATACACACACACACATGCACACACACACACACACACACACACACACACACACACACATGCACACACACACACACACACACACACACACACACACACACACACACACGCGCGCACACACACCCACACACACAGTCTCTTACCCCTACCACCTCAGCTCAAAACTTCATGCAGTGTAGCTAATGAAGAAAGAATTGAAGAAAACGAGTTTTTGAATTGGGATCAACAGAATGAGCTGAACCGACATTCCACAAATGCTTTAGTGTATTCAAAAACGAGCGGATACTAACAGCAATTCTACAACTATTGGCGTTTCGACCCATATTTAGAAAAAGAGCGTTCCGTACATGACAGTATTGGTGGTGTGCGGACTGATTGGACAATGGTGGCCGAACTGACTACGAATCAGTACGAACGACTACAATCCAGCTGAATGAAATCCAGTCGCGTCATTCCAGTTTGCGCCGTGCACCGTTTTGCAGGCCAGTGTTTTCAGTTCTAGGGCTGTGTGACGCGAGGCACATACTTGAGTGACGTGACTGGATTCCATTGAGCAGCGCTGTAGTTCTTGCTGCCACGCACGGTCTAGGATTGCGGATACGCTGGCAATGAACACATGGGCGACGAATGGCCTGCATGCGCCGTGATAAATAGTGGAGCAGGAATCCAGCCATAATAAATAGAATTTATGAGAACTTGAATACGGTGATTGAACGCCTTTAGCATATACGGCACTGACATAGATCGGTTTCACCAGCATGCGAATCGAGATTAAGGCATCGGTCCCGTTGGCCGTGCAGCTAAAGCAGTAGCGATCGGATGCCGCTCGTGCGGTGAATTCCTCCTGCTGCCTCCATTCCGGGACGTCTATCGTTTGGGAGGCGTTAGGAGTTTGGTTATGTCGTTGACTTTCTCATTGTATATCTCGAGATCCTGCTGGCTGGGTGGGTCCCAGAGATCCATTCCCAGTGGCCACGTCACGTCGCCCGTTTTGAAATCGTATGCAAATGACGCCAGCTGCTGCTTGGTGTTTACCTGTGGCTGACGACGCCTGCATTGGTCGAGTCCCGGCTTGCTACTTGGAGCCGTCTTTGCCAGCAGAGTACGCATAATACCGATGCCGAGACCGCAGCTGACGATGGCAAGGCAGGCCACGCCGAATCCCGTCGTCTCCACGAGCGGACGGTCGAGCAACGAACCAGTTAGGAATGCTGCTGATCCCATGGCAAACAGTACCATGCCAGCCGCTACAAGTGTATTGGATGCATTATTGTCTAGAGCATTTGCAGCGAAAAAAATCAAATGACATTGCAAACACAGGACACAAATTGTTGCTCTTCTGACACAGAAATACACCTATTGTACGTGCTCAATCTGCGTGTATATTCTGCCCAGTGTCACGATTCAAGATTGCCTGCGCATTCGGCAGATTCTGGTGTGACACAGAAGTATTTGTGGCATCATGAAGTATTTGTAGCATCAAACCAGACACGGTAAATCTGCTTCCCTGAGCTCCCGTGACACTTCTGGGAACACACACCCAAGTATGTGGTTCATGCAATCTGTGGATTTCGGTGAAAACCTGAAAATTCATGTGGGGCTCAATCTGCGAATTTTGTTGAGAATCATTTTAGAGCACAGCGATTCCATGTGCGGCGCAATCTGTGGATTTCGTTGAAAAACATGACGAGCACAGCGAATCCATGTAGGTGCAATCTTCAATGAACTCGTTTATATGGAAATTCCCAGACTGCAAAACTCTGCATGAATCTGTTGGGAATCCTAAGAAAATTCCCTGCTCCATCTGTAAACTCCCGGAATGCACAAGCAATCATTGTCTGCACAATCTGAGAACTGTGCGGAACATATACACACACGAAGAACCAGTAGCTGGCAACAGTATCACGGGGCAAAGGAATGCGTTGCACTATTCGGAAGCCAGCGAATATTTTAAGGAATTCAAGGGTCCAAAACATCAGATAAGGGCACTTTCGTGAACAATCAAAGTAAAAAAGCAAAGCAGATTTTCGGTCGGTTTGTCGGCACGACAGAGCTTTTCTGGAAAATGGGGACAAGCGACGGCCCTGCTCTGTTTTTTGTTTGCTTTTGTCACGCCTTTATAGTCGTCTGGTTGTCCGTCATTTTCCGGCACATCTTTTCAATCTTTTCATAGGCAGGCAGGCTCAGTTGGTTGGTCAAAGACCATGATTGAGATACGAGAGGAACCTGGTTGAAGTCCGACCTGGGAACGGCTTTTTCCAGCCATGCTGCTACCCACAGTCAACTGAGAACTTGTGTCCATGCACAAGGGGTACTTGGTCCGACCTATTAAAATGTGGGCTTTGTTTCAAAACTCAAGCCTATGTCCAAAGGAGCACCTGTACTAAAAAATCGACCAAGAGACGATAGATAGATAACTACTGTGTCGTTTCTTGGCCTGACCTTCTAGTTTTCATCTCTGCTGGTGTCTCAGGGCGCTTCTTCAAGTGCGTCAACCTGCAAAACGTCGACATATTTTTCATCTCCTCCAAGCTACACTGCGCTTCCTTGATTTTTTCACTCCATAGGCACGATTTAGACGATCGACTTCGCCTCCTCCTCGTGCAGTACGACTGCCAGAATGGTGGCTGTAGGTATTTTCGCCTGACGCTCCCACGACCCTTTCAAATGAGGCGAACAAGTAAACCACCACGCATAAAAAAATCACTTCTCATCACCGTGTGCCGCGCGTGTCTGATCTGTGTCGACATGACTGTCACACAGTCAGCTGCATCAGACCATGCGTGCTCTTCCCTGCCTGTTTCACGAAACCCCTGGCCCCGGAGACTGGCGATCTTGTGACGCATCGCGATCGCGGCTCCGAGGAGTCGGCGAGGACTCCGCACCATTCACGTATTCACCCTTTCTGCGCTTCAGTTTTCCAGCCAGGTTGTCGCCAGAAAGTCGACCTCAAGGGCGGTTGTTTATGTCGATCAACTTCTCGACGATCTCTTCTGTGCTCTTGATTCGTCGGCCGCCACATCGTGAACGAATGCGAGAGAGATCAGCACAAACTGGACGGCGCGATGCAGTTGCTTTCTGCACGAGTTTCTGGATGACGCATTTGCTGAACTTGATTCTTCCAAGGAAACAGCGACTGCAGCGATTTCAATCCGCCAGGAAGCACTCGAGAACGATCGCCCGGAGTTTCTGGTACTCCGTGACAATTCCCCATCGCAGTGGGGTGTTGATTTCAGCACCAGACCTTCTCTGTGTTGCGCGAGAAGCAACAGGAGTCCTCTGACGACAAAATTTGCACGCAAAATGCTCGAGTCGACTAGGATCCTGAGACGCTGCCTCCTTTGGGGTTGGAGCCATTTCTTCTTCAACATCACAAATCGACAACTGAAGGATAGTATTAGGCACCTGGAAAGTTTGTTCCGTCCTGAGATTATTTGAATTTGTTTGGCTGACGTTCGAAGTGAAACGCACATTCTAATAAGTCGGACCAAGTACATGGATGCGGCTAATGGGGTCTTTCTCGGCACTTTTGCCATTGGTTGTGAGACTTATCCACTCACCCCCACCGTTAGGCATTGCATCTGCCGCTTGGGTTTACCAGGTGTTAACGGCCTTCGGGAACGGACACGATAATTCACTTCTTTTTTTTCTTGTTTTCATTCACTGAAATAACCTCAGCAACATTTCAGTCATGGCTTTGTTATTATCTGTGGAAGCTTTCTGTTTGGCTTACTTCAGTGTCAGCTCCAAATCTTCTTTATCCAGATTTGTTCAAAAAATGTAATATCCCCTGTCGAAACACAATAGAATTCATTGAAATAATATTTCTCGGGAATAGATTTCAAGTAAAATTATGGTCTCCGTTTCGGGGGGAACTAACGACGGGCGCTTACACCCGGGAAACCCAGCAGCAGATGTAGCGCCAAGCGGGGGGGGGGGGGGTCTTAGAACCCCTGGCACAAGTGCCTAAAATATCATTCGCCGCATTTATGTACGTCTTGTGCCTGGCCAAAAGTCCCAGTTGACTGTGAGTAGTAGCATGGTTGGAAAACCTGTCCAAGACAGGACAAGAACCAGGCCACGGGCATTGAATTGTCCTTTCCTTGTGTAGTCGTCGGCAAATTGAGCCCTATACGGACGGAAAATAACGTTCATATGGTACACCTCCTTGAATGTACAGTAAAACCTGTAACTAAAGACCACCGTGACTAGCGACCAACCTGGTACTACAGTAAAACCTGTAACTAAAGACCACCGTGACTAGCGACCAGCCTGCTACTACAGTAAAACCTGTAACTAAAGACCACCGTGAAGAGCGAACAGCCTGGTACTACAGACCACTTCGACAGGCACGGACGGTGTCACATTCATTGTGGTTGTGCGGTGCAAACCTCTAACTAAGGACCACCTGCCACTAAAGACCGCTTTCTCCGGTCCCAAGGGGTGGTCGTTAGCCACAAGCTTTACTGTACTATTTTGAGGACCCTGAGAATCCTCTGCAAGTCCCATAACCTTTAACCCTTTCAGTGCCAAGGACGAGATAACTCGTCCTACAGACCCCCACGCGATTGGCTAAGGACGAGATATCTCGTCCTCGTAGTGCGCACTACTATATCTTACCGGCCATGCACTACAATCTAGCTTGGCCGATTGTGGCTCTTCGAGGGGAAACTAGGGGTTTTCCCCTACTGAATAAGACCTCACTCGCCGTGTTTGAGTAAGTAAGGGCACGGGAGTATACTTTCAGAGCGCTCGGGCGAAAACATATTTCGATTCAGAAACAATTAGAATGACGGAACGTACTTCAGGTCTCTCTAGCTGTCTCTCAGACACGGCGAGTCGCCGCATGTCGGCTGAAGAGGTGCTCCAGTCCATCATGGACTCGGACATTGATGACTGGAGCTGCGATAGTGAAGGCGATGACTCGGATGCGGACATAGCCGTCCGCGATCGTGACGGAACAAATTTCGCGGACAAGTCCGCCGTGGTCGATGTCGTACCTACTGCCGTGGTCGCCTTGGACGGCCCTGAGGATATCGGAGATGTCGATGTCGACTTTGAGCGGGGCGCAGCAGCACAAGCTACGCCAGCGAGGGACAACAAGTGGGTTTTGAGTTGATACGACTAATTTGGAAAAAAAATCAGATTTTTTATGAAAATGGCCTGGCCAACAGCGTACATCTGCCCTGGCACTGAAAGGGTTAATGCACTGGACTTCGGCTATAGAGTACAGATTTGTATGTCCCGACTGGACGTAAGTTTCAGCACACTAGTGCTTGTCATGGCTAACCAGTTCTGACCCCCCCCCCCTCCTCTCCCTTTGCTTCTTAAAGGTTGTCGAAAACAATGTGTTGTCTGTGAAACGAACATTGCTCACTTGGAGGGGGGGGGGGGGTGAGCCAAAATTTGAAGTCGACCATCAACGTATATGTATAAAGAGTCTAGCCGCGATTTGCGTTGTCCAGCATAGCCAGCTGCCTTCATCGGGGGAGGGGGTCCAGTATGTTCGTTAAACTTCGTGAAACAAATGGGACGACGGAATACTCATGCCACAACCCCCTTCGTTTGCACCGTTCCAACAAAATACATCCCTGCTCACACCCTGCTCAGGTAGCAAAGAAACGCTACACCAGAATAGTTAGACTCACTGCAAATACAGCTCAGCTTCTCCATTGCATCTCAGTTGATGTTCCCACGGTTACACGTGTGGTTGCTGTGCTGTACCCATAACAAACAATGTGGAAATGTGACGTGTTTAGAAGAGCATAAAAAAAGTAGCTTTGCAGACAACACTAGGCTTCGGCGGATAACACCCGAGAATTTTAAAAAATTAAAAAAGAGAGGACCACAGTCCTTGGCTCTCCGTCCGAGTTTAATATTAATAATTCCGATTTTTCATAATGGTCGCAGTCCACTACAGTTTTGTGTTGACTGTGACTACATTCAAGAGGTGGAAATCACGACAGCATGGCTGATGTCTGTTTCTTGTTGTTTGTTTATTTTTCACAACGCAAACAAAACGAGCAGGCTTGCCCGATATGATGGCAGCGGACATGGTACAATATTGCAATGCGGAATATAGCAGCCGGAAATGCGGCTATGCGGTACAGCGGGACACGGTGAAGATATAACAGGACATGTCAGCTATGGCATCATATCCATATCCACAGCTATGTACAGGCACACCACCCAGGCGGAAATGTTTTGTACCAAAACAGAGGTTAATCTGCGCGTTATTTTTGACGTGACGTGAACGTTCCGCTCGCGTTATTTGGCTTGAACACGTGCAAGGCTGGAAAACAATGTGAGAGAGCTACATTTTATGTCGAATTTTGGCGTTCTACGCCAATTTATGACCCGTTTGGCGCGAAACATGCGGATCACATCAAAAATGACTTGCAGCTCAACCTCTCTATTGACGAGAA